TAATGGCAGAATACAGGAAAATAAAATTACATTGTCACATAATAGGACCTCATTGGAGACGAATTGTTCATTGCTAATTTAGACCGTTATTTACTGTATATTATTTATGATAAAAATTATACATGAAGTTATTAAAGAATTAAAGAATACAAAGATTTTATAACTCAACTATATGTTATAGTTCTATTTGTAAAATAATGTATACAAATATAAAATCAATTCTCTCTTTTGTGTCAGTAAAATTAACGTTGTAATTTATGTCTTTTGTATTTCATAGATATGAAATATATATGTATAAATTCATAAAATATTTCATTCTTAAAAATTAATATACAGCTATAGGTAAAACAAAATATAAAAACCTAATAAAAGAAAGTAAAATTCCTCTCTTACATTTATTGTAGTTGGTTGACTGATTTAATGGGATAAGACAACACAATACAAGGACAATCTGCCAACGAAATTGCTTCCCGTGAAGACTTTCTATGAGAAAGTGACCCTATTTAGATACTGAAGAAACTCCATGAGGTCAAGTGCAAAATCAAGTGTTCAGTACCTTTATCCACTAGGTTTATAGTTATTGTAATCGATAGTATTAATATTCAGAAAGCATAGCAATGGACCCGATATTTAAGAGAAAAATTATTTTGGAGTTAACATTATAGAAAATTTCTCGATATATTTTCTTATTTCTTATTGAAGAATTCAATGAATTTCAGAAACTAAGATTTGAAAAATTCATTTAATTCCAATTTATTATATTATATTATAGAATTTGTTTCTAACTATTTCGATCTTTTTAAGATAATATTTTGTAATCATATTGCAAATGCATGTGATGCATGCAATTACAAAATATTTCAGTCGATTGCAATTTCGTATATAAACGATTTTCAAGGGATAAAGCTAAATATTTTGTCAAATGCTATCTTTACAGGTCACGAAAGTATCGATTCTGATTGTTAGAAATACTCGTGAAAAATAACAAATTTATCAGAATCAATATCAAATAATCGTTTAATATTTTTTTAAAAAAAAGATTCTTAAACTTTCTATCTTAATATTTATTCTAATAAATTAATTAAAGAAATATTATTATTTACAGTAAAATGTTTTGTATGTAGTTTTATTTTTCATTTTTAATATGTTTCCAAAGCTTTATGATATAAACCAATTTCATAATAATTTACATTAAATTATTTGGTTATTTGTTGATAAATCCTGTATACATTAAAGCATTTAATCTTCAAACAAAGGATATAAATATTTTCAATTTTCTGATCATAATACCATAATAGAGACTTCATCGTCTTTAATTGAACCGAGTTTAATCACTTTGAAAAATTCTATAACTTTTCATTGGATTTAGATCAAAGAGTTTCCTTGCCAGTTCAGCATTTGAACATTGTCTCCTAGAAAAATTTCTTTGCTTTTATTGACATGTGGCAACGAGCCAAGTTTTGTTAGAAAATTCCATCTCCTTCTGGGAACCTTTTAATCAGTTAAGAAACAACTTTCTTGTCTAGAATTTTGATATCGTTACTTTTTAACACGAAATGTCTGGATGTAATGTTATAGAATCTTCATGATTAAAACAGCCGTAAAACATTTCGTTTTTAAGACATGTTTGTTGTTAGCATGAGGGACCAAAATGAGATATTGAAGCAAAGTCTCCTGATTTTCGTGTTTAAATCCTATTTAAGACATTTCCATCCTCCCTCAAACTGGCCAAACTAATTGTGGGGGTCCATGTTCTGCTGCTGTTTCGTATTAACAAATTAATCAATCTCATAACCAATTGTTTTAGATAGATAGATGATCAAGTTGAATACATGGTCACACAGATATCATTTTTATTTGAAAATATGCTTTTTACTCTATCTTCCATTTGCATATCTGTTCAAAAGATAAGTCTTTCAGTACCTAGATTCTTCATGTATCTGGATATAAAATTATTTCATATAATAAATTTTACACATGCATTCAGACATATATTCAAAATCTCATCTGTGCAAACTTGTATTCATTAAAGCTAACATGATAACAAATTATTGAATAGAATATACAGAGGAAAATTTAATCCAATTAATTCATTGTACAGCTTTTATTGTTCGTTCTTAAAACATCTTACTTATATAAAAAAAAAATAATGTATAGACCTGTACTTTATAGGTATAAAGAGTAACACAGTATAGTAGACTAAGAAAAAATTGATATATCTCATACTATTTACTTTTAATTCTATTTAATTTTATTTAATCTTAAAATTTTTCCAAATTTAAAAGAGAAATCCTCAAAATCACCTCCGTGTGCACAGATTTACCCGTAAGATAATACACATGAAAGTTGTTTCATAATAAAAGAAATTGCAAAACGTTTCGCAATAATTGAAAAAAGTATAGATTAGTTTGGAATATTCTGTAAGTAAAATGTTACAGAAAAAGTTTTTTTTTTCTGTGAAGGATTATATTGGATTTATTTCATGATAATGAGCCATACGATTAACTTCAATTTTCCTATTACATTTAATCTGATCCTCAGTAGCTTGAATCAAAACATGTAAAGAATAAGAATAAAATCTTAATTCTTTACATGTCCAAGAAATTTAAAAGGTCTTTAAAATAGAAAATATTTATGTAAAAAGTTTCACTGAAAACATCATTCCAATTGTTTTGATAATTAAGAATTATTATAGAAAATAATTTATTAATTTCCGTATTCTCGTGACAATTCAAATAGAGAAATTAATAATTATTATTAGTATATTTAAAAATATCACAATGAAAATATTGACTATTTTCATTGAATTTGTTCACTCAACTAATAACTTTCAACGTCGTTATGTTTTCATAGAGATTCAATACAAGTTGACTAATAGAGACACAATAATTGTTGAAAAGAGTGACACGACTGACAATTTATTGTGAAATAAATGTGTCCCAAATAAAAGACAAAAAGAAGACAATGCAATTATAGTTTTTTCACAACCATAATTGATAAACGTCTAACTGATAAATGAATCTATTCTCTTCAATTGTCATACGTAACATATTCATTATTTTGTATTACTTATTATATATAAAAGAAATCTCTTATCATTCTTAAGTGGCTATTTCGAGGGAGACGAAATTTCAATAATATTCTAACATTATTTTCAATTTATTATTCAATATTATAATATATATATATATATATATATATTTCATATTCATCGAGTGATAGTTGTTTTCCAATAGGGATTAATACAGAAAATGCTGAATTTGCATTAAATCTATCGGATCAAATTTTGTAACAAATTGAATACAAAACTATTCGAAAAGTTATATTTATCCGATTATCGATTTTAAATTTTAATTACAACTAAAATGAAGTAAATCACGGTTTTAACTAAGATTAAACTAAAAATACTTATTTTAAACGATATTCTAATACGTTAGCGATAGTTTTAAAACAATATACGTCACAATTCTCGTAGATAAATAGTGTATAAAATGTACATTAAAATAATAATAATAATAATAATAATAATAACAGAATCGTTGGATCAGGAGTTTTCATTTAAATATATTTTGTTCATAAAAATCAATTTATACAAATAAGAATAGTATCAAAAACAATGATGCAGACTATTAAAGACTCGAATTACAATTGTTCTCATTTTTCTAATAATTTATAAGAATTAACACGAACCGAAATTACGTTGTATGCTTTATTAGAGCCTTTCTATCTATTTATTTATTTACATATAACACGAATTTAACGTTTTATTAACGTTTTATTAAAGTTTATTCACAAAATTTTAAGAAATTCCCACGTAAGTATCCTAAATCTAATCATTATCTAGCGAATTTCTACTCGGTGTCAGAATTTTGACGACACATAACGTAATTTCCGTTCAAACGATCGTCGACATGTTTTCTGGCTATTGCAAAACTCTCACAATAAAAATAAAGAAATTTGATGTATTTTCTTTATATGAAATAATTGGCATCTCGCCATATTCGAGATAAGTAACTTGCTTAATCAATTTAATTTCACCGAATTTTTTTTTTTTCCTCCCGTTTGAATTCTTTACCTGTATATATTTTGTTATTTTAATTATCTCAGAAAAATAATTCAGCTGGATTTAAATATTTTTTTAAAATAGAAAACAAGTCTTTTAATTGTTTTAAAATTGTTTACAAAATATCTAAATGAGTAGAAATGTTAAAAAATAAATAAATTTATTCCAAAATAAAATCATTTTTTTNTAATGAAAACAAATTATTTATCATATCGTTCATAATTTGTATCAAACATCATTAATATTTAGTGACCCATGACCCTTTCTTGTTTAGAAACAGAAATGAATGACATAGTAGAAATACAGTCGACCCCCCTATAACACTGTTGATAATTCCGTTTTATATGAATTCCATATTGTACGAGTCACTTAGATTTTACAAATACGTGAGCCGTTCACAGCCCGGCACACGTATTTGTAAAATCTAAATGACTCGTACAATATGGAATTCATATAACACGGAATTATCTACAGTATTATACGGGGGTATACTTGTATTATGTGATATTGTTTTGTTAGAAGAAATTATTTAAATAAGAAACGATTTAATACTGCAATAATCAGTAAGATTAAAGCTTTATTATGTATTTTTGTTTATTATAAATATACTATGTTAGAAAAATTACGAGTAGCAATAAAGAACTGCAATTATAACTTGTGCCTTGTAATTGATAGTATTGATAACAGTTAAATAATTTTATTCTTATTTTAATTACTTACACAATTTAATATGTCTTACTTTTGAAAATTATTATCGAAATAATAAGTTTTTAAAATGAATTGCAACTTTTGGTTATAAGCCATGTTGAAGATTTTTAGGCCTATTTGTTGATAGTATAATGAAAAGTTGAATAGTAAAGAATGAATAATTTTAAAAAGATGATTAACCATAGATTATTTAAATATAAAATTTGATAAATTTTCGATTCAAACTTACCTACATTCTCCATGCTTTGAGTGAGCAAAGCCTCGAAAGTATGGAGACTGTAACTCTCTGCATCTAACCCTCTTGCGAGAGCATTTCTCAGATGCATTTCGTATTCCATTAATAAACGACTGGTTGGAGAGCTTGGTGTATGACTGATAACAGGCTGACCTGCACCTTCGTCTGAGCTCAAATATGGTGCGTCGCTGTTTTCATTGCTAGAACTGGGAGTGGTAGCGTAGCATAAATTATCATACAACAAGTTGTCAGAAGGTGGAGATTGATCGGCATCGGTAAGATCGAGACACATTCTACGTTCTAGACTACGTCGTCTCCCTTTCTCTGATCGGTTTTGTCGACTTCGACTGCCAGCAGATCTAGGTCTAGAATTTGTTAATCTAATGCTTCGAACGGATCCTTCTCCATCAGATTTCCGGCCATCACCTCGTCCTCTGCCATTGCCTAACATTTCTTGTTCCGGAGAACTATGCGAAGACATATTAGAAAGTAAAGGATGCAACATCCGTTTTAGTGTATTACTATCGAGGCTAAGGGCAGCAAGGTCGCCACCTTGTGACCTCTCAAACACATCATCTGAACTTTTGCTCTTTGTTCGTGTGTGTGGTTGAATTTCTTCAGTTTTAAGAGTAGTCTGTCTTTCAGATGACAGTATACTGTAGTCGACACTTTTAGCTTCCTCTTTACGCGCTGATTGGGCAAATTTCGCTCGGGCTTGTTCTGATCGAGTGAGAGATGTGGTACTCGCCGTTTTCTCTAATGTTGCCTGTGGTGCAGATTTAATGCTGGCGTCACTTTTCGTTTGTTTAACATGGCCGTGAACACTAGCCGTTGTCGTTCCTCGCCGCAAAGATGCAACATTATCGTATACTGAAGTACTTGAAGGATGGGTTGTAGGACGTCCTTTCCCATCTTCTATAGCTCTTGTCTGAGCTCGAGGAAGAGTAGCAGCACCTGTATATCTTACCCGTCCATTTCTTGCTCGGTGTAAATTTTCTGCTGTCATGCAAGTACATTGTGCTTCGCGCCCCCTTGATGGGGAACTGGGAGTTGATTGTGGTTTGCGTTTGCTTTTGCCTTTTTGTTGTTGCTGAAATTATAATTTATTAACTTTAAAAATATAGTTAATTCATATACCGTGTTTTCTCGATACTAATGTGCCATCCAATCTAATGTGCACAGGACTTTAGAGACGTCAAAATACAAATAAGTTACCTTGCAAATGTAATGTATGTCCTAAATCGAAAACGCAGTCGCAATAAGTTAATATACAATAATAAATGAATTTTTCAATATCGTTTTATTTTCGCTGTAAACTTTTCAAAAATTCATGTTTACAGTGCTTCATTCGCATGTAGTATTCATTTATGACTCCATTATCGAGCGTAGAGGATCAGCGAACCATACGAAATGCCAGTCAAAATTACCGTACGACCAATGTTTTAACAGAGTGTTCGGTTTGCAAAAAGCATGAAATTTACCATATACATAACATCTCGTTGAAGTATCAGTATACATATTCTTCAGCATAATAGATAACTCTGTTTAAACACAACTTTATAGGAGATTCGTCTGCTGGATATCGTTCACTCGACTTGCTGTAGTTGGGGAAAAACCATCGAACTGTTTCAAAACCAAAACCGTAGTAGTGGGAGGGACGTGTACCATGTCTACACCGACGTCTTAGTACACGCGAATTGCCAAGCAGAGTGAAGAACAAAGCGAACAAACGACACTGCATTAAATCGACATTGTATCTGATTCTAATGCCAAGCCCAACTTTTGAGACCAGAAAAGTCCAAAAAAAAGTGCACATTGGAATCAAGAAAACACGGTATTTAGTAATTGTGATAAAAATTTATAAAAGTTAATATTTTACTATAATGAAATTATTTTACCTTTGGAGGTTCTGATTTTAAAGAATAAGAGGAAGACGCTTTTCTTGCAAATTTGAACGCAGGAGACTAAAAATATTAAATAAATATTATAATATAAATAATATTTGATTTGTACATTTAACATAGAGGCATTATTCAAAATATATATATATATATATATATAAATTAAACAATAAAAATGATTTAATTATGCTTTGATAAAATTATGCTTACTTAATTATTCTTTTATATATAACTATAAATAATTTGAAAAATATAAATAAAATTAGAACATGCTCACACAACATTCTCGAAATTGTTTTGCGTCAAGAGGAGAGGTAAAGTTTAATCCCCATGTGTCACCAGTAGCTGTATCCTTCCAGTAGACGAAACATTCGGACGCCTGACCCAGCCTCGTTCCTAATTAATAATATATAAAAACAAATAATACTAAATAAAGTAATAAAAAATATTTTAAAATGAAAACAATAAAATTACATGCAATTAATATAATTTTCAGAAATTTAACAGCTTTACTTCTTCACTTATTTTATTTTCTCTTATTTTCTTTTGAGAAAAATCGTTTACGCTCTCCAAATTTGTCAAGGGAGGATTTTTATCTGCTTAAAATTCTTCACACGAAACTCTTAGATCAGAAGAAAATAAACTCAAAGAACAATTTTCAGTTTTAATAGTTTTTCAATTTAATTTCCAGAAATGTGTAGAAGCCAAAAAAGAATTTTTGTTTCTATTTTATTATTTATATTTACACAAATAAATATCCATGTAAACTTAAGCTTATTACGAAACTACATTTACATTTATTAAGCTTACAATGTTATATGTCTCCGGGAAAAGAAATCATTTAGAATAATAAAAACTAATCATATTTTTTTATTTATTTATTATTTTCTTAAAGAAAACGAAATTTTCAACCTGGCTGTATTAATCGGACGTCCAGTATTTTCTCCACTTGTGAATTGTAAGCAGTGATATGAAAGACACATTCTGGCGAATCTTGGATGCATGTAATATTCACTGGTACTAAATCCTCAGACACCTGCTGCCATTTAACGGCTCCGCTAGTAGCACTGACGTGAAATACTTCTGCCCATAATCTATATTTAATTGAGAAACAAACGTTTTATTATGTTGAAAGCAAATATTAATTTCATCTTTGCATTGTTATAATCAATTTAAATAGAAATATATTTTACTAGAATAAAATTTATTACTAGTTTAATCTCAGATTAAGTTTCTTGTAATACGTAGTATAAAAAATATTTTAAAATATATAATTAATTCTGATTTAATAATTAAACAATTTACTTTTATTTTATATGGAGTAAAAAGTAGATTGCATACCGGAAAATAAGTTTCCTACATTTGTGAACTAAGTAAACAGTGATTTGATATTAAATGATTCAAAGAGATACGAAATATAATCTATACAATTCTAGAAGCCTGGTTTTATTTGCAATAAACTCAGATGATGCCATTATTGATTTAACGAAAATGATCATTATGGTTAGAAAAACTCTATAAACACAATTATTTACTGTTATTCTTGTAGATTCCATACTTAGAATTAGATATTCTAAGGCTGAATAACAGAACATTTGCAATTTACTGTGGCCATCTGGCACTATGCTAGAATAATATGCATTTCATACCGTTATTCAGTATGGTCAAGGTTGTGCAAATTGCCCCAATACACTCGTTCTTTCACATACTTCTTATACTAAAATTCATAAAGAGTAAGGACTAGAAACAAAAAGTTACAAATATTCGAATGACATATAAGAGAGTTTTACATGCTCTCTTGTATTAGATCATAAAATATGAAGTAAAGTTTTATCTTCACTTTGAAATGATTGCATCATTAAAGATGCGAGGAAAGATCCTACGAAAGACAGAGATATATTGGATTTGTCGCTATATATATATATATATATTTATATCTATCTTCGATTTATATTTCTTCAAAAATACAGTATAAGTATAATAAAAGAACCAAAAAATTGAAATTTAATAAAACCATGCGTATTTTCGTATGCAATTGTGGCATTACCAGTTAATTTGTAATCAATGTACCAGAATATATTTAAAATCTAATTTTCAGAAAACTTTGCGAGCAACCAAATCGACATTATTGCTGGGGTTATAATCTGTAGATTTAATTTCTTCAATATTTGAATGTACTAATTATAATGGTACTAATTTAATCTATAATTACTTTGATAATGTTTTTCATTATGATACCGATAGAACTTGAAAAATAAGTTTGCATTCATTTATGACTCGTTGATGGCATGGCAACTTTCTACCTGTCGATGATCCCGTAGTAATTTCAGTCATTTGAAATCGATGGATAAATGCCACAATTGGTAGCGTTAGAACAAAATTCATTTTTGATACCTTTCAGAAAATGAAACCATCATTCGCAGCTGTTGCATTTTGGCTCAAGTTTTCTAGATTAACTTCAAAATGAAAAATTTATCTTCGAATATGTCAACTCTTCGATCTTTCTAATTTTGGTTATATGTTAAAGAATAGTCTTCATATTTTACTAGTTTTGATCGAATTCGCTGCACTATTAACACTAACTTTTTCATACGAAATTTTTAAAACTGTTTAACATTCATTTGTCCTTTCGATCATTAAGAAGCTTTCTTAAAGCCACTTAATATCTTCCGAAATTGAATTTTGTAATGGCATCAAATCTGATGCCGTGGCGATTAAGGCATCAGCTTAATTCTCTGGGGAATCCGGAATCAAATCACCCAGGCGATCGAAAAACACCAGGAATTTTTCGGGGAATGATCTGTTTTTCGCTCCATTACGAACCCGGCCGAACCAACGATGAGCCTGACAAAATGCCCCATTAGAACCCAAAGATAAAAAGAGTAAAAACTTGTCAATGTGTTACGTATAAAATAAAAAATAAAATCTACTTAAAATAATTTCAGATAATAAAAGTATTTTGTTTTTTTTTTTTTTTAGTTTTAATTGCAAAAAATAAATAAAATATGTGAACATGATACGATGCCAATAATGTTACGCGACACGAATAATGCGTGTTGCCTGCGTTAAGATAATGCGACAGGACACTACACGAATGCAGGCAAAAATATTAAAACAAATAATTTACAATTTTATCATGGAATCATTGTAAAATCAATAGTTCTCATTCACGAATACGAATAATTTATCAAATTCATTTTCATTTATAAATGAAACATTTACTAGTCATAGACATATCACAGGCAAACAGATGTATATATGGTGTATAATGAATGCAACGATTTAACTCATGTTCGCATTACTTTAAAACTTGTCTGTCAATCAAAATGTCGGCATTGCTTTTTATCATAAAAATAATATTTCTCTTATACTGTATATATTGCGTGGTACAAGGAAGTAAAATATATATAAAAATTATGGAAAACAGAATTTGTTCTTTTCCAATTGAATTCATTTCTAGTGCTATTTTCTTATAAAATTTGCTTTGTTCCTTTATTATTGCAAATATTTATATGATTTTTTTTATATATATAATTTTAGGGAATTAAATGATTTAAATTCCATCGGAATAAAAAGGTTTTAACTCAGAAATTATTATGATACTTTACTTTGTTTTTTTTCTTTATATTAACAATAATTTAATATAAAATTTCATGTAAAATTTGAAGAAAAAAAATTCTTTTAATAAAAAATAGCTAAGAAATAAATAATGTGTTTTGGGTAAAATATAATTTAATATCTCACGAGGGACAGAATTAAGAAATAGCATGTTTTAGTTATAACACTGCAAATAACTTTTTTACTATTCTACTGGATAGTGCTGCTATTTATATGCAGCACGAGACTTATAATTTAGATTTGTTTCTTCTGGCAAAAAATAAAATTATTCAGAAAGTTCTATTTTAGTAGTATCTTCTTAATAAATTTTATTGAACACTGAATCTATTTATTTCCAGAAAAAAAAAAGTAAAACTTATTTTTATATTATTTTTATAAAAGTATGTTTATGAATGTTACGTATAAAGATGCAAAAAATAATAATTTTATTATTATTATTATTTGCTAATCCTTAATAATAGAAAAAAACATCTGAAATATAGAAGAGAATGTATAAAATACAGGTCAAGATCTAGTGCTTGAAACTGTTACCTACATTTGATTCTAAAGTATCATAGAAATAATTTTATTTATTAGTTAGCGTGAGTATTCAGTATAATAAACATTTGCATGCAACAACTTTAATCTGTATGTATTTATAAAATGCTCACGCCAAGTAATAAATAAAAAAAATTGTTGCCGAGAAACAGCAATTAATATTATAATCCATGAGAAAAACTAAATAATAGATGCTATTCTAAAAACATTTTCCTATTTAATAAAATTTTTCAATATAATGCAAAATCTAGAAACCAGAATTTCTATTTCTATTCCTTATTCCTTTTAACTCTTTCTAATACAAATTTGTTGTCGGTTAATTTAGTTAATTAAAGCAAATTTCTAATGATTTTAAAACTAAATAGAATTTAAATGTTCTTTTGAAATAATAAGATAATGATTAAATAAATGATTATAATTATATCTTTCCTTACACTACTGTAAGTTTTCAAACTGAAGTGACTATACTCGTTGAAATTATTGCATTGTAAAGAAACTACAAATGCCATCTTTCAAAATGGGTTGATTTCGATCAAATTTTCTAACTACCTCGCAGAAGTAGCAAGAAATTTAGGAGTTAAATTTAAATAAAATCGATAAAGCTGTTTGGACCATAAAGAAAAAGAAGGTAACGAAAAAGGACGATTTTATTGACTTTCAAAATAGCCATACTTTTAACATCCTCTAATATAAAACGTTGATTTTTAATAATCTATGTTGAAAAAGCAGACGATGACGAAAAATACTTTCTAACTTAATCTACTATACATAGAATATTCGGGTGATAAAAAGACCAAAATTATCTTTACTCTCATTCCTGTATATTCATGGACGTCGTCACTGCCATGATCTTTAAACGAGAATATTCAATTACAGTAAGTATAAATAGTTAAATCTATTATAAATGTATTTTTATATATACATTCGTCGGCTTATTTCTTAAGTGAATACACTTTAGAAATTTTTATTCACTCTTTTCTAAATCATATTTATTATCTTACTGTATTCTGTATAAATGCTTAACGGTAATTAAACAGTTATACAGTATAATAATATAACTAAATAAATATAATTTTATGCTTTTTTTTAAGCAATTAAGTCGAGCTTTTACTTTTCTTTATTATTAAATTTATTTTTAATTCGATAATATTAAAAAGTTAATAGAGATATTCAGTAAACTGTTAGAAAACAATTTATTAGCGATTTCATACCAAGGTTACCAAAAATCTATTAAATCTTAACGGTCCTAAAAAAGAAAATAAAATTAGATATAAGTATAATAAAGCTATGTTGACTCTAAACCAATGTTTGTTTTTATTTTTTATGATTTCTCTATATACAAAAATTCAAATACAATTTGGAAGAGCAATACTTAAAGAATCAGTATTCTATCTTCCTTTTATCCTTCTACTACCCAAACAATTATTTTTACTTAAGAAAAACATTGTTATTTTTATGACTATTAACATAAATGTCTCTTGGTTTATAATGTAATTGCAATACAGGCAGTTCATTTTCATCACTTTTGTTAGCATGCGAGAATTTACATATTTGAATTTGTATTACGTAAATCACAATATACACGTGTCCAAAAGGAATACAATTGCTCTGAGGAGGAGTGGACCAATCTGCCCCAATAACAGCTGAATTACTTGGTGACGAGCATGTGAGTGCTACATCACAGTTGAAGGTGGAAGGTGATCCATAATGACAAGTCTCTCAGCCTGAATATTGATAAACACTTTCTATCCATTGTCTAACTGCTGTATGTATCTTTTTCACCAAAGATTTACTTTTATTGCTTTGATTTATAAAATCATATACGAGTTGTTGTGTTAGACATCGAGTAATACAATTCTTGTCATATTTGTCTGCATTCATCTACAGTTATCTCTGTTCGTGTACAAAAGATCTCTGTACTTAAGTTTTGGACACGTGTGTGTAATAACATATTTCTGAATCTTCTTCATTTTCCTTATTAAAAATGTTTAAATTATTGAAATTATATCTATATTTATTCATTGCTATAACTCTTGATTTAATTTAAAACTGTAAAAAAAAAAAACTAATCATATGTTAACAACAATAAAAAAAATTAGAACAACAAAATAGTTGATTTAATTTAAAACTGNAGCTTTTTTTATATTGTAAAAAAATATTTTTTTATAATAAGAAATCGAAAAAAAAACTGTTACAATCGAATAAATTTCTTTCACCGTGAGATACGTGAGACGATACAAGAGGAATATATTCGTAAGCAATTCGTGATCCCCCTATCTTGCCCAAATATTGAAAAAAAAAAATTTTTTTTTAGTATCATACTTTAAAAATGAACTATTCAAGAAAAATTCATATTACATTTTGTATTATCTGATGTCGATCGATTTCTGAATGTTCGTGTGCCCTTAAAAATTAAAATTTCTATGGTGCACCCTTTCCTCGATGCCCTAAGCACGTGCCTAATACCATTACTTAATTTTTATTGTCTTCTTTTGTTATTTAAAAATAAATTAATAAACGAATTTTCTTAATCTTAAATAAAACAATTATTTGAAGGATTAAAGTCTTCATACTAAAAAATAATTTAATTCAAACACACATTAAATATAAAGATTGAAATATCAATATTAAAATAAGGTCTTAACAAAGAAACGATTAATATAAGCTAGATTGTATCATTTTTATAAACACGCTGATTAAAGATGGGAGTTATTAATACCTCTTTTACTTAAAAATTCTCTAATATATATATATATATTTTTTTTTAAATTATAAACTATAATTCTCTGAAACTCATAACGACAAAAATCAATAGAATCAGTTTGTAAATTGATTCTTTCAATACTTAAAACTATTAAAATAAACAAATTACTATTGTAACAAATAAATTCATTTGTTTTCTAAGGTATTGATGAGATTACAATAGTTGCAAACATAATTAATTTTAATAAATTAATTTAATTCAATTTGCATATAATTTAGAAGATATTTAAATAAAAAAAAAGATTGTTAAAATTGGAAAAGAAGAGAACTGAAGGGATATTTCTTCATAAAATTCAGAAAATTATATTAAAATTTGTAACAAAATAAACAAATGACAAAGATAAAAAACAAAAATATTATTTAAAATTCGAATGTATGACAGTTATAAGAAAATCTAGACAAAGTTTGCCAGCGTATGTAATTGAAACGAACTTACTTATTGTAAATAAAGAAGCAAGCAATAAATCATATCATTTTCAACTTAATTAACTTCAGTAAAGTTCTTTTTTTTCTATATTTTCAGAATATGGATTAAGTAGAAATATAGTTATTATATCTTGACCGTGTTGTAGTGCAATTTAAACGAGCTATATAGTGCATTATGTATATTTGGCACGTCATCATCAAGCATTTCATCTCAAAATACATTTATCGTTCAATCACATACATGATTGAATGATAAATTAGTTCTTATCACGTTTAAAGGTAGTTTTATTAATAAATTTAATAAATGTTTATATGTAATTATTGGAAAATAATTATAATTAGAATTAATATTGAATATAATTATATATAGTTAGTTAAAAATTCTTATTCTTCTGTGCCAAATTCTTATCAGCAAACCTATGCCATTGCTTTTTACAGTAATTCTAATATATTGACGATGAAAGGATAATCGTTCTGTTTATTTCGAACAATATATTAAACTAATTGCCCAAAAATGAACTTTAAATAACTTATTGAGAATAAATTTATATAAAATTTACGAGAATCCAATTAATTAAACAATCATTGAACTTCAGCCCTCAGGACAGTAGCTAATATCGAACAATTAGTTTTAAGTAATAACTTATATTTTCATCATTTAATAATAAATCTTTACAAAATTTACAAATGATAATCTAATAACGAATTTTATAAGAATTAATAAATAATTTTTCAAATAAATAATAGTTTAATTATAATAAAGAACCCACAAATTGGCTTCACTGCATTAGTAGTAAGACCATAAAGTAAACCACATATACAGGAACGTGATAATTTTGTAATACTGTACTGTATTCTAGTTATAAAGTACAGTATTTTATTACTTTTTTTCTTATAAAATAAAATATTTTATAAGTGAATTCACTATGAAAATTTTAAAAGTTTTAATAAAGTTAAAGACAATTTAAGAGTATATTTTAGATATAGGTTACGTTTACAAATATATAAATATGAAAAGTACTCAACGACAAACATGAGATATAATAAATATAAATATATGACTTCTAAAGTTTATATACTCTTATATTCTTTATATATTTTTATATTTTTATTCGTTTGGAATTTTCTATATCTACACGTTTCTCGAATAAGATAACAATCCTGAAAGAAAGAAAAAAAAAACGTTTCTATAAAATAAAATTTAAAAAAAAAATATGCAATATCTTAGTAAATTTTACTCTGATATAAAATAAATATTGTGAAGTAAATAAAATTTAATATAATAAATTACAATTCTTGCATTAAAAAAATATATATAAAGAATAGAATTATGATTGCATTTTAGTATTAATTAACTTAATTTAGTAAAATTTTATTAAATATCGATTTAAAAAGTATAACTTTTATAATTTTTCTTAAAATAAATCATATTTTAGTAACAAGTAATAAAATNATAATTAATATATATATATATAATATAATATATGGTATTTTTTTTTATTTTTTTAAATACATAACCTGATAGAGAATTTTTCGAACTTCTGAAGAACTCACGAGAGATAATGTAAAAAAATGTTTGAGTCAATATAATATATATATATATATATATATATTTATATTGTTTTTATTTTTCATATTTATAATATAAATAACCTGAACTTTGACATATAGAGTTCTTATTTACGCTTCTGGCTAAAATAAATGTTTATACCTATTACAGTTAATTCATTAAAGCGAATGTTAAATAATTTTACATGAAGTATTTAAATGATTTTATATACATTTTAAATACTTATTTTAAATCTCTTTCGTAACTTTATGAAATGTTTTCTTTTATTATAGATAGTCTGCATGTTTATTTGAATGGAAGAAAAAAAAATTCAATTTAGTAATTAAATCAATGAAAGTAAAATTTTAATGATAAATACATTTTCGTAAATAAAATTTATTTACAAAATAAAATAAAAGTATAATTTCATTAGAGTTTCACATTTCAAATACTAATTATTTTTAACATCAAAGTAATTTTATCTCGTTGGATAGCAATTTAAAACAAGTGAATAATATGCCTGTCTAATAAAACAATTAAATGACTAAATTAAGTATTTTTGCTTAAGAATTTATAACATAATTATTAAAATGATATTAATCAGATAATATTTTATTTTTAAATTTTATTTAGAATAAAATTTTATAATTAATTCTTCTAAAATCTGTTAAATTTTCTATAGAAAACACTAACAAAAAGTATAAGATCTTTATACTTTTCATTATTAATTTAATAAATAATTTTTCAATTTTATTATTATTTAAAATTCCATTTATCATGAATAAATTCTAGTATTATATTTCTCATATTTATCCATTGTTTTATTTTTAATCAATATAATATTATTCGATTTTATCTAAGTATATACCCTATAAAATGAATAATCAAAATAGAGCATAAATTCATTAATCATATAGAAACTGCGAACAAAAACTAAAACTCGGACATTATTTTCTGAATTGAAAAACCGAACAGAATTGTTTTTTACTCCATAAACATTTCTGTAAATATGTGTACAATAAATAAGAGCCATCAATTACAACGACGAATCTACTGATATTATCAAGACTTGGCTCTGCCACTGAAGTCTTTTATCGACAGAAATGCAAAAAAAAAGCCATACTCCTTTAGAAATTCATGAAAATTTTACACAATTGTCCATGTTTAATTTTATATAATAAATTCTTTAACATTTATTCTAACTTTTGCAGTGTTTTGCAATTGTTTAAGGACTTGCTCAAATCCTTAAACAATTGCAAATCCCGGTTGAGCAAGATATATAAATCGAAAAAAAAACAGAACTTTACAGTTAGAAAAATTTACTTATACTAATTTTTCTTTTATACAGGTCTATTTATTGTTTAAGTACTATATGAATCTCTTCATCACAACAAAAACTGTAGAGGAATGGAAATATTTTTGGTTTCTGTTTCTATATTGCAAACTTGTATTTCCGTAGTAAAAGAAAAAAATATATATATATATTTTGCTAAGGAAATATTTTAAATAAATGCATAAAATTTATTATTTTTACATTCGTTTGATAATCTTATTAAAGGTAACTTTGATAGTGCGAGAGACGTAAAATTCGTTGTAAAAAAAATAACAATGTAAAACAAGTAGACTGTTTAATAAAGAGTAAAAATGATGTTAAGATGAGGAAGTTCGTAAGATATTTTCTGTCCAATGCATTTTACATAGGAGCAAGTGGAAATAGAAGAATTTCTTATAAATCTATAGAAATAAACAGGTTGTACTCACCGAAGCAGATGGCCGTCTCTCCGACGAGTTGCCTGCCATGGTGAGTCCTCATAACGGTAAGCCTTGCGAATCAATGGGGCACAGGAGCAGCTAAACTTATTTCCCATGACAACGTTGAATCCAATGCGTCAGGTATTTATTGTGCTACGACAGTAATGCAACTTTTGTGTCAGGTATTCGTAATACGGTGTTTTCCATGGTTAGACGTTAACTCTATCTCTCGTATGCCGGTATCTGTAAATGGAGACATAGAAAGAAGTCATTGTATTTGTGACGGAAAAGTGGCGACATCTGGTGAGTGTTATCGTAGTTATCTGATTCACTAGTCTCACTTTTGACCTTTTCTGTAACATCTGTTATTTCATCTTTATATTTTACCCTCCCCTCTTTATATTGAAAACCTTCTGATTGTTATAACATTTATAACGAATCGACACCTGCGATTCAAAAACCATATTTACCGATTGAGAATTTATGAATGTACCATTGTTTTCGAATAGTAAAGTACTTTTACAAATTCTCTTATCAACTGTTTCATCTACGTTAAATAATTACTAATATCTTCAGTTATTTATATTAAAAAAAAAACTGCTACAGTTTTGTTAAGTATGATAATTAATTTAATTAAACATAAACATAATTAATCGCTACTAATTTAAAAAAAAGCTGTAGTAAATTATAACAATATAAATTAATTCTGTTGTTATTCGGATTAGAGTTTGTCATTTAAGCAAAATTTATTTTAATTTCGTATAATCACCTGTTTTTAGGTACAGTTTCTTTTATATAAGGAAAAATGGTTTGTAAAATTTGATACTTATGGATGAACATCTCTACAATACTGAAATTACTGCAGGAAAGATGCTTCTGTAACTTTCATCGATCAACTTCGAAATTATCGACTGTTCATTCAACATTTAAACTTATTTATTTACTCACTAACTCCAGTTTAGTTTAGTTAAAACACATTAATATAGACTCAACTAAANTGGTATTTTTTTTTATTTTTTTAAATACATAACCTGATAGAGAATTTTTCGAACTTCTGAAGAACTCACGAGAGATAATGTAAAAAAATGTTTGAGTCAATATAATATATATATATATATATATATATTTATATTGTTTTTATTTTTCATATTTATAATATAAATAACCTGAACTTTGACATATAGAGTTCTTATTTACGCTTCTGGCTAAAATAAATGTTTATACCTATTACAGTTAATTCATTAAAGCGAATGTTAAATAATTTTACATGAAGTATTTAAATGATTTTATATACATTTTAAATACTTATTTTAAATCTCTTTCGTAACTTTATGAAATGTTTTCTTTTATTATAGATAGTCTGCATGTTTATTTGAATGGAAGAAAAAAAAATTCAATTTAGTAATTAAATCAATGAAAGTAAAATTTTAATGATAAATACATTTTCGTAAATAAAATTTATTTACAAAATAAAATAAAAGTATAATTTCATTAGAGTTTCACATTTCAAATACTAATTATTTTTAACATCAAAGTAATTTTATCTCGTTGGATAGCAATTTAAAACAAGTGAATAATATGCCTGTCTAATAAAACAATTAAATGACTAAATTAAGTATTTTTGCTTAAGAATTTATAACATAATTATTAAAATGATATTAATCAGATAATATTTTATTTTTAAATTTTATTTAGAATAAAATTTTATAATTAATTCTTCTAAAATCTGTTAAATTTTCTATAGAAAACACTAACAAAAAGTATAAGATCTTTATACTTTTCATTATTAATTTAATAAATAATTTTTCAATTTTATTATTATTTAAAATTCCATTTATCATGAATAAATTCTAGTATTATATTTCTCATATTTATCCATTGTTTTATTTTTAATCAATATAATATTATTCGATTTTATCTAAGTATATACCCTATAAAATGAATAATCAAAATAGAGCATAAATTCATTAATCATATAGAAACTGCGAACAAAAACTAAAACTCGGACATTATTTTCTGAATTGAAAAACCGAACAGAATTGTTTTTTACTCCATAAACATTTCTGTAAATATGTGTACAATAAATAAGAGCCATCAATTACAACGACGAATCTACTGATATTATCAAGACTTGGCTCTGCCACTGAAGTCTTTTATCGACAGAAATGCAAAAAAAAAGCCATACTCCTTTAGAAATTCATGAAAATTTTACACAATTGTCCATGTTTAATTTTATATAATAAATTCTTTAACATTTATTCTAACTTTTGCAGTGTTTTGCAATTGTTTAAGGACTTGCTCAAATCCTTAAACAATTGCAAATCCCGGTTGAGCAAGATATATAAATCGAAAAAAAAACAGAACTTTACAGTTAGAAAAATTTACTTATACTAATTTTTCTTTTATACAGGTCTATTTATTGTTTAAGTACTATATGAATCTCTTCATCACAACAAAAACTGTAGAGGAATGGAAATATTTTTGGTTTCTGTTTCTATATTGCAAACTTGTATTTCCGTAGTAAAAGAAAAAAATATATATATAAAATACTATTTGAAACTTTTACTAAAACGAAGTTTAAAAAGAAAAATGAAGTGGAGAAAATTTTAACTTTTCACGTTTATAAACATTTGTAAATATTCAACCAATACAGTAACTCTATTACGTTATCTAATCTTCTTTAACGTCATCAAAAATAGTAGGAAGTTCAGCAATTGATATGTAAGAAATAGCAGAATATTCTTAGAATTGATTCGCATCATACGTATTTATGTTCAACAACATAGTTTTACTATAGGTTCGTATAGTATATGTTTATACAGTCTATAAGTTCGCTACTTCATCGTAAATGATGTCGCAAATAAAACTAAACTTTTTTCCTCTTTTTTTTTTATTTATTTTCTTTTATAATTTCTGCATTGTATTCGGGTAAGTCCGTTTCGAATGTAATTCACGTCCATAGAAGAGAAAGTTGAACCTTTTCGTTGAATTAAAGAAGTGGAATTTTAAAATTAATAATGCAGTAATATATTTTATTTTGCTATTTATGAAATATTAGTGATAAATAGCCTAACGCGTAAAATTTCATAAATGTTTAGAATATAAACTCGAAGTTCATGGAAATACTCTACAATTATCATTGTAGAAATTTAGTTACTAATACAATTAATTCAACGTGACTTTTTATTATCGACTCTACCATAGTACATCTAATTTCTATAATAAAGACAGTGAAATAATGATGCGAAACTGAATTTAAATTTGCACGAAATGAATTGATTTCTTTCAAAATTTCTTTATTCTTCTCGATGAAATTCCATTAATATGAAGAAGGTAAAACGAGCTTACTGAAAAATAAACTGAAGAAAGTATAAATAAACAAAACACTATAAAATTTTTAAAAAGTTGGTTAAAAAAAATAAAGTTTATTAATCCTGCATGATGTTTCGAAAGAAATATGATGTAATTCGAATTAATACATGTGAATATAATACAATGAAACTGTCTAGATTTAATATAGTTAAATTCAACATCTGTTTTTCATTAAAAGAAAACATTTTCTATGCGATTTATGTTAGTTTTCTTTTAAAGAAAATAAAAAAAATAATAATAATTAAAATCTTAGTTTCATAATAATTTGTAATTTATAAAGAAAAATCTCTCAAATTTATAGAAATTATTAAAAATTTGAAACTAGAAAAATGTAAATTTATTCCTCCGATTTGCATGGGATTCAATTTCATACTATCGGATTCAATGCTCACCGACCGAATGTACGAAACTAGATGCGAGGAAGCGATTGAAAATGGTGAAAATGAATAAGAAAAACGTTAATAACTTCCGATTTTAGATCCGAATGTTTTCGAAAATCATTAAAATCATCACAGAAACATGAAGACTCTTTGCTATCAAAGTGATTTCATTTATTACTCCATTTTTTAATTAGTCATCCTAGTTAGTGACATTAGATTCTTAAACTTAGTCTAGTTATACACAAGCAAAAGTATTGTTATATGGTAAAAGTACTGAAGAAAAATAATCTCGATACATTATTTTTCAAAAGTGATACATCTTCCACATATAAATTTCAAATATTATTCACCGTATTATACAGATGTACAAAATTCGTAATTCATAAGCACAAATTCGTAAATTCGTACTTATAATTTTAATAATAGTGCACAATACAACTGCCATTGAATATTTTACTTTGTGTATCAAATAACAGTGAAAGCGTATCTAGAATTTTTATCATAATGAAATAATGAAACGTTTCCATTTCTTTTTATATTACTTTGTTTATGTTGAAAAATATTCAATTTATCAAGAAACTAAGAAATTGTTTACATAGGTTAAAAGCCAGTTATCAAATTATATTCGAAAGTTAAAACGAAAAACAATTATTAAATATATACACGTATATAAACAGTAAAACCTGTCAAACTGAAAAGATATTCGGCATTGTAAGAATCCGGTTTACACAGGCTTTAATGTATACATAGATATACATAGATTGTAATCATTACTTTCATATATGCATATGAGAAAATTTATATAAATTCGTACACATACTCCAGTGGCACAATATAGCTTCATGGGGCCCAAGCGAATTTGAAATAGGAGACCTCGTGTACAGTGTTTTTTTTTTTTTTGACTTCAGACATTTTCTTCGGGGGAGTATTTTGGGGAAATATTTTCTTATAAAACATTAATTTGGGGGCCCCTACTCGAGAAGGCCCCAGGAAATTGCCTTTTTTGCAGGTAGGATAACGCCATATACCACTAACATACTCACGATGTAAGTATATTTATATATTAATGAAAAAAGCACAAATTCAGTCGATGAAGTTAATCGAACAAAAATAAACTATCTATAAATAAAATTTTAGCTTTAATACAACAATTAATTCTCGGTATTCATTTTAAAACGACGTCTTTGTATTAAAAATTTGCATTTACAAATTGATATTAAGATAAATAACAAATTTTTAATGAAGACGACTAAAAAAAATCTTTATAATTCAATAAAAATTGAAAAATCTTAATTTAAAAAAAAAAAAAAAAACTAACATATTTTACGAATAAAATATGAAAATTATTTTTCACTAGTCATTTGGTCTGCATTTTTCTCAGAAGTTCAAATATGGGAAGATTTAAATATCTCCAGTATATTGATCAGTTGTTTGGCTCTGTGCCAGATTTTGCACTACGTAGAATCGTGATACAGCGCAAAATTTTATTGA